TCGAACCCAGGCCTGTGGCATTACTCAAGAGGGAACCAGCCAGTTGAGCTAAAGGGAGATCTCCCCTCAACCCGCAACTGAGGTCCCTGCTATTCACAGGGAAGGGCGTTGACGCAAATTGCTTTGTCAGTATGGCCATGGGGGGAAGGGGGACTCGTACGCTGGGCAAACGTTCAAAGTCAAATTCTCCCACGAGGGGGGTACCTTTGAAGTGGAGACGACGGCACTGAAAAATTTTATTTGCAACACATTCAAAAAAAAATTCCAGGAAAGTTTAGCCTTTATCACTAATGTAACACCTAAATGAAGACATAAATATAGAAATCCTTACATTACAAACTCCAGGCATTTAATTTTGTCTATTGCTACAATATCGACAGCAATATAGTTAAAAGGAACATGTCAAAACGGTTGATCGAGTTAACAGTCTGGGTGTGGCGACTTTCAAAGTAAGGCCTTTTTAAAGGTGACCTGATCTGACATTGTTCCACCTGGACCTTGTTGGGGAAAAGTGCACCTAATGAGCTTTTGTGTGATTGGTAAGTTGCAATGCCTCATTGCTTAAAACAAATTGGCAACTTTTTGTGAAAGTACATAAGCTATAACTAGAAAATGTTGTTTCTTTTTTCCATCAGTATATTTATACTTTTAAAATATTTAAATCCATTGAAAATTATACATTTTTGTTAAAAAGAAGATTAATGTCAAATAGGTGAAATTGTTTTTCTCCGTATTTCAGAAACATGTATTTCTCAAATTAATGTTTAATGTAACTGTAAGCAGGGCTTTAACCCCCTGGGTAGAATATACTAACCTTCTCCACATTTTCCCAAGAGACGCACAAGAGCATTAAATCATTTCTACATCATAAACTGAGTACATTGAGGTGTGGGCTGTGATTACAGCTCACAGATACTGTATATTCTCTGAATAAATTTGGTCATGGACATCATGAATTAAAAACGGCCTTTGAAAAACACATACAAGGATGATGAGGAAGAGAATATCTCAAAAATGTTTGTTATACTGTATATACTTGCCATTAACATAATAAAACATATTTAACAAATGAAAATGACGTGCACAGTACTCACTTTGTCATAGGGATGGAGAATGAACAGAACTGTTAATTCAATTTTGGGTAAAAACACCAGTATTATGCACAAAAAAATAAAACTGGAAGTCTGTAGTATCACAATATACTGTTACAATACAGTTATTGTTGTAATTTATGCTGACCAAATGTAAAATGGATTTAGTTGTTGATTATGTCTGCCAAGTTTCAAATCAGTCAGTTCTTGTGTGTATTATTGATGCAGAAGAACAATTATTTCCTCCCTGATTTTCTCTCTTTATGCTTGATACATTTTGAGAAAATTGGCTGAAGGTTGCTTTACTAGGAATAGTTTGAAAGATCGAAAAGAGAAGAACAGAAGACAAATACTTAAAATCATTTTGGGCTATCCAGTTGTTCCCAAACCTAGTCCCTGTGTCTGCTGATTTTCATTCCAGATAAACTTTAAATTACTGGTGCTTACCGATGCCTTTAATTAGTCTTGTTGTTTGTTGAGCCTGTGGTTGGTCCTAATTGTGAAAAATACTGTATCCTCCTTCAAATCAATTTGAGTATGTAGGGTTTTAAGTTTCTTTGCAATTTGCTTTTCCTTATTTCTGAAAAACGTTTAATGGCTTTGAGAGGAGGAGTCAGATGGTAATAATAATATATCAAGAACTCCTTCAAGTGGGCAGTTTTTTATTTCTGCAGTAGTCCAGTTGGTTACATTTCAGGCAACAAATCTGAATAAAGGGATTAATGAAACAGAAATTGGTACAGGTCTGATACCAGTCACAATTCTTTCTCAAATATTTAAAGACTTCTCCCAAATAGAAGATTTAAATCAACTAACCTGTGAATAAGAGCTCAGGTGAAGTAAAAACAAGCAGAGACAGTAGCACCACAGTAGTAAAACTAGGACCTACTGGGCTTTACAAAGCCTATACACTCACTACTGGATACAGTACAGTATGTGGAGAGAGTTGTTAAATAGTGAAAGTACTTTTTTCTAATCTACTTTTATCTAATATTGCATTCAAAATAAATTTAAGCATTTGGTGTTAAATGCAATTTATGAATCAATTTATACAGTAGTTAATTAAAGAACCTTGTAAGTTTTCTTTCACTTTTTTATCAATTTTATCTGTAGGAACAAGTTTGTTTATGAGGAGAAAGGAGTCATTGACTTTCACATAAATGTAACATAATTTTTATTTAGAAACTACAAATTTTAATTTATATATTTTTTATTTATTAACCATGTTTAAACCAACCAACTGAACCAGATTACATAAATATGAAGTTAATTCAAACTAGTTTAAAACTGGCAAATTAACACAAAGCTGAATTTGTTTTAGGGAGAATGTTTCTCGTTGGGTTTGTGCATATCATTAATATTTAAAATGGCTCCATTAATTAAACTCATTATATTCGACATGGGGGAATATAAAGGGTGGTGCCAAGACAGGCCCTCAGGTGCTATCTGTGTAGAGTTTTTATGGTTTCAGACTCCCCCTTGATTCTAAATTGGAAGAAGCAATTGGAAAATGGATGGGACGATTACAGTATATTCAACATACTGGGACTTGTTCCCATTCTGAATAGTGAATAGAAAAAGAATATGACAAAAGGTAAAAATGGTATTTAACTAGAAAGAAAACACAACGTTTCGGCCGTGGAGCCTTCTTCAGTTGTGAGAAAGACATGGCAGTAAGCAAAGGTAATGTAGCATAGGAGAACAAAAGCTGGGAGAGAGGAGGAGCAGGAGGCGGAAGCAGGGGACAGACAGAGCAGGCAATCAGATAGGGTGAAGACAGGTGTGAAATGAAACCTACAATGAATAGAGAGAATTTAGAAGAAAACAAGTCTTGTCGTTGAGAGAAGGGGAAAGGTGTGATCCTAGCTGCAGGATAATTTTAGTTTTGGTAGTCTTTCTGATGTTGGACTTAGGAAAACCAGCTTTGAGAACACAGATGGAGAGATTAGTGTGATCAGGTGTAGCAGAGCTAGTTTGGACCTTAGCTGCCTGGGCTGAGGGAGGTCTCCCTTAGCTCATTCAGCTGATTCCCTGTTGCGTTATGCCGGAGACCCAGGTTAGTGCCCAGGTGTTGCAGGACAAACCGGCGGGGTGGAGCAGCGAGGGCACAAGCTCGCGCAGAACAGCGATGGTCACACATGGCCGTCAGAGGTGAATTGAGAAACAATAGGTTTGGAGACATCTTAAATCTTCACAGCCCTAACATGTTCTCTGAAGTGGTCTCTGAGTCTCCTTCCTGTTTCCCTGATATAGATGGCTGGTCATTTACTGCAAGCGATACAGTAAATAAGGTTGCTGGAGGTACAAGATGTCATCTGAGTGATCCGGAATTGTCCTGAGGGGCCTTGAATGAGTGTGGTGTTAGATATGTACTTGCAGGTGATACAGCAAGCTCTTTTGCAGGGAAAGTGCCTGGTGTGGATGGTTGCTGAGGGCAGTCAAGGGAGCTGTGAACAAGAAGGTTACTCAGATTAGGTGGTCGAAGATATGAGATGATGGGGTGGTCAGAAAAGAGGACCCCAATGGAGGGATCATCCTGTAGGATGGAAAAGTTGTCGTTAATAGTCCTGGGGATAGGAAGTGTGTTGGGGTGGTAGAGAAGCACCAAAGAAATGGGGTTGTTACAGCAGGAGTTCCTGCTCGAGTTGATGGTCCGAGGGGTGTTTTTGGCTTGGGCAAGAGCCCTGTCAATAACGCTGCTCAGGTGTCCTCTGTTGATGAAAAAATAGTACATTTTGAGGTCTTGGTTCTGGAAATCGATGTTGTCACTGCAGAGTCATAATAGCTGAAGGAATTGTGAAAAATGGAAATTAGCGTATTTGGAGTGAAATGAGCTGTAAAGGAGATAGTTGTGTGAATCTGTGGGTTTGTAATAGACTGAAGTAGAGAGTTGGTGGTAGTTAATGGAGACGATAATGTCTAGAAATTGAAGAGTAGTGGGAGATATGTTAACTGTATATATCAGGGACAGGTGTAAGTTGTTGAAGTGATGCAGAAAGTGCTCAATCTGGTCGTTAGAGCATGTGGCGGCACCGACACAGTCATCAATGTATTGCTTGTAGAGGTCAGGGACATAGCCAGTGTAGGAAGCGAAGAAGTGTTCTTCTACCCAGCTGACAAAAATATTGGCATAGCTGGGTCCCATTCTGGTGTCCATGGCAACTCCACTGACCTGTTGGTAAAAAAGGTTATTGAAAGAGAATGCATTAAGTGTGAGGAACAATTCTGCAAGGCGTAACAGGGTGTGGGTGGGTGGATTAAGCACTGTGCGTTTTTCCTGCGTGTACTTGAGAGCTGTAAGACCGTCATTATGGGGAATGACAGTGTAAAGACGTGATGTCCATGGTAAAAATGTAGCATTTTAGGCCCTGGAATTAGAAATAATTAAAAAGTTGGAGCAAGTGTCCTTGATTTATGAGGGAAAACCTTCAACCAGCGGTCTCATAAGGCTGTCGAAAAAGGCTGAGATGTATGTAGTCGGACAGTTGTATGCTGATACAATGGGGCTTCCAGGGGTGTCTGGTTTGTGGTTTTGGGGAGGAGATAAAATTGAGATACCTGGGGATGTTCAATGATGAGCTGGTTTGCCTCCTGGGAGAGCTCTTACTGTTGGTAAGAAGGGAGATGGTGGATACCACTTCCTTTTGGTAGTCAGTGGTAGGGTCCTGTTGAAGACAGAGGTAGGCAGAAGTGTCGGTTAGTTGTCTAGAGGCTTTAAAAATATATACTGTATAAACTAACATGCAAATGTCCTTAAAGTTTTAGATTTTTCTAGGAATGTCATTAAATTGTTTCCATGATGTTCATTAGTGAGCACATGTAAAAAATGTTTTAGCATTACTACAGCATTTAGCATATTTGTTGTATTTTGTTAAGTTGCACGTGTCATGAAATGCTTGTCTCCCTTAGGATCTCAAGTCCCCTGATCAACGTGATGAGATGGCAAGTGCCCGGGGACTACTGAAGCAAAATTCGTCTCTTCTATATTCAACCTCTTCAGCTTGCCTGGAACACCCTGATGTTGCTTCCCTGAAAGCCAGTAAGGACTCTATCTGTAATGAAATACAGGACGCCTTTACTGCCATTTCAAATGCTGCCCAGGGCATTGGGCAAGCCAAAGTTCAACCCATGTCAACTTCTGGGACTCTTGGGGGAGCACTTGACGAGTTGGAGGTAGGTTGACAACCTAAGTTATATCAGGCTAAGATATCATTACTGTTGTACACAATTGGATTATCCTTCAATATCCACCACAGTATCCATCCTTTTATCTAAAATCATTTCAAATGTACTTTCTTTTATTAATAGTGTGCTATTAAAAAGGCAATCTGAATGTTCATCCAAAGCAAGTGTTACATTAGCTGTAGTGTTCTCAGGAGTAATTTGATTTTATATTTATCCTTCACATTTGTTAATGGGGCATTGGAATGATGCAATTCAGTGGGAATCTAGATATTATTTCATGCTGTTTTTTTTCTTTTTAAATGGACCTTTAGTGCTTATCTAATCAATGGAGGGTACATTATTCCTACCCCTCAGTCACCTGTTAAATATTGGCATGTGTTCCAGTCAAGAAAGCCATACCAGTGAATAATATGAATAGTGACTAAATTTATGAAGGTCTCAGATGAGTAGTTAGCCTTAAAGGTGTAGTGTATGTCACATAGTCCTTATCTTACTTCACTTTAACCTGTTGCACAAACTTTGATACATTATGTTTGATTAAAAATACAGAGATGACTGCAAGATCTTTGAAGATATTCTAAAGTTTTCTTTGCCATCCATGGCATCCTTAGTAATGTAATTTCAATCATTTTACAGTGCCCACTTTAAGTTTCATTATTTTAGAATCTAATGTTCTTCAGTAAATAGTCTTACAATTCTCTTCAGAGACAGGGGTTCAATATTGGTTGGATGGCCTGAATACCATGTTCATTGTTTTGCAAAATCAGAAAACCTTAGGTTTATGAAGCCTGCTGTTGTGAGGAAAAAAGCCATATGTCACCTGATATAACATCTATGGGATAGATTGGCATCTACTGTACTGCTGTCATCATCAGCTGTCATAGAATATAATCTATGACGTGTCTTCCTGGGGTGTAAAAAGATATAAACCAATTAAGCAAACCTACTATCTGCACTGGCTGCTAATGGTCAAACATAACAAAAAGTGGTTATTTCTGCCATTAAATCTGGTCATTCCGTGTGGAACTTGTCATTTAAACCATTAGCCGCAAAATTACAAAAGATACTGTCAAGAAACAGCAAATTATGTTTTCTGTATTTCCCTTATTCTGTTTCTAAATATTGAATGCACAACAAATAAACCAACAAATCTTATATCTTTGGTTAAACTACATTTGTTGAACTCTGAAGACTTAATTGTTTTTTTTAAATAGATATAAACTATTTTTGATTGATTTCTGTGATGAGTGACAGCTATTTACATGTGAAATGAAGAGTTTTTATTAACTCTTGTACTAGAAGTAATTTTGCAGACTCGGATCTGGATGTTTTGGATTCAAAGTAGCATGCATTTCTTTAATTATTTTACATGAAAAAATAATTAAACATTTGCCTTACAGTTTCTTCACTAATGGTGCTGTTGGAAAGTGTAGTTCAAAAATGCATATATTCCACATCATTTAACTGAAGTTTAAACACAGCAACAATGAGTTGAGACTTTTAAACTTGAAAAATAATATCTGAGATCTTTCTGCTTCAATTGCTAACTCTTTAAATTTTGATGTGTAAAAGAAACACTGGAGAGGAGGAATTTTAAATTAAATCACATTTTCTCTTTTTAAAATTATTGCTGTCCAATATTATGATGTTTGTTTCAATTGTTGATTGTTTTCAAATCTTGGAAACAATAAAAAATAAACACAAGTATCCAAATATACTGTATACAGTATGCTTTAAAATAGGAGACACCATGAGGTACTGTATAAATTATCTTTGATTCTTTTAAAGTAGTTTTAAAGGACATTAAAGTATCACAAATGCAGAGTTATTATTAGGGATTGGTATATATTGTAATATGGCACTGAAAATCTCTGTTTGACGTGCATCTTGTTAATATTCAAATGAACATTTTTCATCAGATTGAAATTAAGACACTAAGTAGACTTTATATTTGTTTGAAATACAATTATTGTTTCAGTGCTAGACACATAAATAGTAATTTATTAAATAACAATGTATTGGAGATGAAACAGAAATGTTTACTGAAACACAACAGTGGCCTTTTTCAGACCAGTCAGACGTGAAAACCAAAGAGCAAGACCACTATAATCACATAGGGTATTATTGGTCATACTGTCATACTGTTTTGAGTGCTACCAGTCCTGATTCTTGCATAGCCCAGTCTGCTATCTAGATATAAGAAAGGCTAATATCTAGATAGCAGGCTAGAACCCTCCACTGCAGATTCCAAAATTAAGGAATCATATTAATTTTTTTATTTGCTATTTAATCAGTCACTTTAAATTACTTTAAAAAGTAGTTTATTTAATTGTTGTCAGTCTAATTTAGAAAGGCACTATGTGAAAAAAAACAGGTGTGGTGACAGCTTAATTATTTTTTTTGCTTTCAAGATTATTTTCTTATTTGATATCATTTGTTTATTATTCAATCTGTTTTTGTTGTATTTTTTATAAAAAGTAAAATGTCACATAGTCCTTATCTTACTTCACTTTAACCTGTTGCTCAAACTTTGATACATTAAGTTAGTTTAAAAAAGTCTTATTTTCTCCATCTAGCAGCTGCAGCTTGAGTTAAAGTCTTGTATTAAAACAAAATTGCTGTAGACTTCTGTATTTTTAAACTTTTTTTTCCATTTGATTTGATTTACTAAAGACCTTTTTTTTCTTGATGGGATGGAATGTAGAGAAGAAATGATGACAGATTGGTAAGAAACTGGAATGCAAAGTACTAATGTTTCATGAGCAGGTAGTTGAATTTAGGTCCAGCATGTTTATCTTATGGTAGCGTTTGGAGCTTTCACCTGAAGATCTTAAGGACTGGGTTAATTTGCAGTGTTTAAAAAGGCATATGAACATTGGTAAATGGATTTCAAAATCTGTTTCACACATTGGTACTGTTTCTTTTTCACCTCTGAAAACAATGCATTTGGAGTTTTCAAAGACCTTGTATTACATTATTACACAGTAAAAAAAAAAAATCTAAATTGCAATAATTTGAGCTGCAATATTTTGCTCCTTATGCTCTGAGCTCAAGTGCGAACATCTGTTCAAATTATCCGCACACAATAGGGTTTGAACAAATAATTATTTTGCGTATTAACTTTGTAGAAGCTCTTTTGCAATTTAAAACCTCAAATTATGAACTTTTTTTTAAAGTAAGGTACACTGAAATATAACCATGTTTTAACTTAGGTATTGGTATGTTTTTTAAGAAATCTTTTGCCTAATCCATAAGTTATCCCTGTAGTTGTTTTTCAATACAAACACCTCAAAACAGCTACACCCATAGCATATAGAGTACCACATTTTTTAAAATATATTTTTTAGGGTATTTTATTCAAGCATATTTCTGTTTACTACTACGCTATTTTGGAGTGTCACTTTTAAGACTCAAGGCTTAGTGTAGAGGGGTAAGCAGCATTAATATTAAAGCTCAAGTTGGAATACTATATAAAATAGATCACAAAGCAGTGGTACATCCATTGAAGTCTCTCAGAAAAAAATGCTTTCATCTCATTGAGGACCTTTATTCATGCTTCTGTACTGTTAATATTGTTTTCTTGGTCTAGTGATGAACGGGCAGATACAAAAGTAAAGATGCAAAACAGCAATATTTCATGTTATGATGTGAAGTATAATGGCAATATAATATTTACCTCCAAAGTATCTCTTTATTAGCTCCAAGCTATTGACCTGGAGTTTTACTAACATGAACTAACTATAAATATACATTGCTGTTTGACTTGGATTAGCAAATTGCTCATACCTTAAAAGAGATGTCTTTCCAGCCTCTTGCAGGCTGATAACTAACTTTCTTTTGAGATTTAGGACTTCATTAATAATTAAGAAAAATGATTCTTGGCAGATGGTCATTTAAACAAATTGAATTAGTTCTCAAATCCCAGATCTATATGCTGAGATGCTGCCAGTGCCTTACCCTGATCAATATTAGTTTCTTGCAGTGATGGTATAATCTGCTGAGACTTATTGAATGAAACTTTTTTTTAACCTTATATATGGATAAACATATATATGTGCATGGCTAAACAATACAAATATATTTTGTGGTGTGAGGTTCAATAGAGGCATAGGGAAAGGCACCCATAAAACTGATGACTGCAGTGAGTGTAAATACAAGCTGTCATAGACTTTTGAAGGTCTCCCTTGTCTTGGAGTGCCCCAATCCAATTAGTGTTGTAGGTCACCTTATTTGTTACTTGATATTAAAGATTGGCAACACCTGTAAGATTTGGATAGTAATCTGTTCAATTCAGAGCACTTAGGTGCTAAGAGTACCTACTGTACTATAGATTCAAATCCTAAATAAGTTCTTATTTATTTTATATAATAATATATATAACATCATTTTATTAACCCTTTACAATTTCTTGCATTAGGAATTATCTTTTCTCATACCCCAGCTTGCTCTCCATGAAACACACAGACAGGGAGAGAGCCAGGGGTCAGAGCGGAGGGTCTGCCATTGTATGGCGCCCCTGGAGCAGTTGGGGTTAAGGGCCTTGCTCAGGAGCCCAACGGAGTAGGATTCCTCTGCCAGCTGCAGGATTTGAACTTGCAACCTTCCAGCCACAGGCGCAGATCCTTGGCCACAGAGCCACCGCTCTGCCCAAACAATTTAACAAAAATATCTATTTAAGTTAAGTTATCATTAACATTATCAATGAAAAAAATGTTGTTTTTTTTACTTTAGAAACTGGTTATTTAATGGTGAGCTACAAATGTTGCTGCATTGGAGCTCTCCAAGTCCAGGTTTGTACTTTAGCAGCTAGACATTCTTGTCGAGAACATTACACTTACAGTACACCCTCCCATCAACTAGTGTGTTGTACACTGCCATTAGTGTGCCATTAATATTTCTGAATACCTACATTACACTCACTATCATTCAACAGGGTGACTGAACCGTTACTGAAGAGGATTTGGGTCATTTTCAGTTGAGGTGACTTT